AGCAAGTCCAAGGCCATGGGTTCACTCCCCAGCAATATAGGAAAACGTTCTCTAGTCAAAAGAAAAATGATTGCTCCTGGAAGTATGGGGACATAGGAAGGAGGGAAGGTCCAGGGGAAGGGAAATAAGTTGGTAAATGTAAATGAATTTGGCTTCATATGGAGTTTAAATTTAATGAAGAATTGAAACAGCAGTAGCAGCAACATTAGAGAATTTAACAAGGAAAAAGAAGAAGAGGAGGAGGAGGAAGACAAAACACAAAAAGGATTTTAAAGGTTACTACTCCAAGATCCTTTTATTCTCTAGGAATTGGCAAAGACTCTAATTTACATTTAGGTTTACTAGGTTAAGGTTCATTTCCTACTATATAAGGATAAAAAGTATTAAAAAGACTGTAAAAACTACAGGAGTAGGAGAATGAAATAACAGAGACTTAATTCAAAAGTAGTCAGGAAAGTAAAGGATGCTGGGAATGGCTGAGAAAAGTAGCAAACGATAGACTTAGTCTACACATTAGAAGTGGCATTTCATATAAAAACCAGAGATTTTCACACCGGGAAACCACAATCCATTTACATGCTGCTTTCAAGATAAATACCTTACATAGCATGTATTACATGTACAGAAAGGCAGAAAGTAAAGAGTTGTGAAAAAGAAACCGCCAGGACCATATGGTGGTACACACCTTTCATTCTAGCACCCAGTAAGCAGAGGCAGAGGTGGGCAGATCTTGAGTTCTAGGCTAGCCTGGTCTACATAGGGTTAGAGACAAATGACAGCTTCAGTGTTGCACAGAGGAGCACATGAACAAAACAGTAGTGCGGCAAGGCCATTCTTTTAGAAAAAGGTGCACCAAGACCCACACTTAGCCAAGATGCATTCTGTCTTGTGTATCTGACGTAGGTAGGTGTTCTTTGTCTCATCTGTTTCTGGGGATGTAACTTCACTATTTGACTTGGTTGTCTGGTCAGCACGAAGGGGAAGAGGAAGGTTCAGGAAATAGGAGTCCTTGCCAGACTAACCACCTTTAATAGAAAAGTTGTTTCTCACAATAGTGAGTTTTAGGCAGGCCAGGACTGCATGGTGAGACCATGTCTCAAAGAAGGGCAAAATTGCAAAAATTAACCTAATGAAAACTGATATAGCTGTGTTATATCAAAGCAGTTTTAAGGCAAAAAGTGTAACACGAAAAATAAAAGACCCAGAGACTGATATTGGGGTTCAAGCTGAAGATCAGAGAAACAAAGCAGCCAAGCCAGTAGATCTCACCTCTACCCAGCTGAAATGGCAGTCCTGTCTCCATGAATCATTGGAGGCAATAGGCTCCAAATTTCTGTCTCCTCCTCCTTTTATTCCTTTTTCCACCCAGCTATATCAGTCCTGTCTCCACCTCCCTAGTGCTGGGATTAAAGATGGGTTTAACAGCTTTGTGTGAAGCTGTTTCTTTTAGGATTGGATCAATTTAGTGTAGTCAGTGTGGCCTTGAACTAACAGAGATCCGTCCATTGGTCTACCTCTTAATTCTGAGTCCTGGGATTAAAGTGTGTGTCACCACTGCCTAGCTCTATAGCTAACTAGTGTGGCTGCTTTGCTATTTTGATCTCCAGTAGCTTTAATAAATCATGAACAATATATCACCACAAAACAGCATAGAGAATTTTTCAAAATCCATAGGATGTTCCAGTCACCAGAAAGATAATTAGAAGCTGCAGCTGGGTTGGGGGCTGTAGCTCAGCGGCAGAGGCAGGCTTCGCATGCACAAGGTCATGGGTTTGGTCTTCAGCACTGGGGGAAAATGTGCGACTGAGTACAGCCTTCAAGTATATTCAGAGCAATTAGTTCACATGTCTTACTTAGATGTCAGTTTGAAATGCCAGAGACACGTGTAAATGTTCTTATTCTTAACTTCATGGAGAACAAAAGAAAGGTTAACAGATCTGAATCTTTTTTTTTTTTTTTTCTTTACCAGAGCATTTCATCCTCTGAAATCACTGGTACAATGTAGAGACCTTTCTGAGGTATAAACTGCAGAAGCCTTTCAAGAGTTGGAGACTTTGGGCTGGCTGTGGTGGCTTTTGCCCCTCTCTACCCCATTTCTACTTTCCTTCTTATCATTAACCAATCACATTAACTTCTGGCTTAGTTCTCCTCTTGGTTTTGTATAAATGAATCTACATATGTCTATGATCTTATCACACTTTCCTTTTTTTTTTTTTTTTTGGTTTTGTTTTTTGAGACAGGTTTCTCTGTGTTGCCATGGCTGTTCTGGAACTCAACCAAGCTGGCCTCGAACTCACGGAGATCCACCTGCCTCAGCCTCCCGAGTGCGGGGATTAAAGGCATAGGCCAGTCACACCTTCTTTCTTATATGGAAGGTAAAGCAACATAGGTTCAATATCTCCTTTTCTTTCTGGAAGCCCATGCTCCCATCCCCAGTGGACGCCTGCAATAGCAGATAGTACCTCGTGGGGCAGAGTCATGTGCTGTCAACAGTAAGAAGCCACAGTGGTCCAATAAGAGCATGATCTATGGGTATCATGGCTGTCTTAGTTTGGAAGTATATCCCATAATGTTCTCACAGTGATGGAATCACTTAACGTCATACTTCTTAGGATGTATCCCTATCATAAACAGCTCACGGCTCTACTATAGTTTTCCCAATTGTACATACCTTGATAAGGTTTAATTTGCAAATTAGGCTAGATAAGAGATTAAAAGTAATGAGATCAAGTGGGGTGAATGACACTGTAACAGCATCAGAATGCTATGCAGGGCTGCATGAACAGTGCTGTGATACTACAGCCGTCGTCTGATAACCTAGCTGAGTAGAAATGGGCAGGTAACATACACAGCATGGATACACTGGACAGAGGGGTGGTTCAGTGGTAAGACAGAGTGGAATGTCATGTGATTTCAGTACACTATTCGGAATGGCGTGCACTTTATTTACTTTTGAAGTGCTAGAGATTCGACCTGGGATCTTGTACTTGCTGGGCAAGCACTCCTCCACTGAGCTCTATTCCAGTCTCTCCTTAGCTTTTATTTTAAAATGTATTTATTATTTTGCGTGTGCGTGTGGAAGTTAGCTGACAACATTCAAGGATCAGTTCCTTCTTCCACCATGGAGTCTAGAAATCAAGCAGGCTCTCCAACTTCGTGACAAGTACTTTAGCCACTGGTCCTTATTTAAATACAAAGAAACAAGATTTATGTTATTTTTATTTTACATGTGTGGTGTGTCTTGCCTGCATGCTTGTCTGTTCACCCTGTGCATGCAGTGACCATGAGGCCAGAAGACGGCTTGGATCACTTGAAAGTGGAGTTAGGGATTGTCTTAGGGGCCATGCAGATGCTGGGAACTGGTTCCTTAACTGCTGAGCAGTCTCTCCAGTCCTCCCGGCCCTACTTTTTATTTTGATACAAGAGTATTTCTGATGCTCAGGCTAGCCTCGAACTCACAATCCCCTTGCCTCAGCCTCCCGAGCAGCTGGAATTACAGACCACCACCATGCCCACCTTGATGACGTAGAAATGAAAACATTCTAATTATTTATTCCTCAAATTTTCCTTTTGGTGCCTTTAGACTAGAGTTGACCACAAGGGACTAAAACTGTAGAAAGTAAACCCTTTTTTGTACTTTGATTTAATAAAATATATCTTATATTATCATAATGCAGTGTGTGTTTCTTCTTTTTTGTGGTTTTTTTGAGACAGGGTTTCTCTGTAACAGCCCTGGCTGCTCTGGAACTCGCTCTGTAGACCAGGCTGGGCCTCAAACTCACAGAGATCCTCCTGCCGCTGCCTCCTGAATTCTGGGATTAAAGGCGTGTACCACCACTGCCTGGCACAGTATTTATTTCTTAGTGACTGGGATATGTTCTGTAAGCAGGTTGTAAAACAACCTAATCATTTTAGGACATCATTAAGTCACAAAGTTGATATAGATCAAATCACTTGACATAGCCTCCTGATTCAGTCCAGAATTGTGATAAAAATTAAATATTATATAAGAGGCTGCTTCCAGCGTTATCTTGATATGATATTTTATAGAAAACTTAAAAACAGTTTTGTTTTGGTTTTGTTGTTGTTTTCAGATTATTTTGTTTTATGCATGTAGGTGTTTTGCCTGCCCATTTGTTTATGTACCAGATACATGTCTGGTGCCTGTGGAGGTCAGAAGGGATATCAGATCCCCTGGAACTAGAGTTAGGTTGTGTAAGCTGCCATGTGGGTTCTGGGAACTAAACTTGGGTCCTCTGCAAGAGAAATAAGTGTGAGTATAAAATTAAAATGATGGTAGGACTGGTGGCACAGCTCAGTAGGAGTGTGCCCGATGTACAGAGCCCTGGACTCAGTCCTCAGTGCTGTGCCCCTAAAGCAAGTACTCGGTAATAAACTGATGGCGAATGTAACACACTGTATATATTCAAGTAAGTCTTGTGTTCTGTCTATAATTGTGTGCTATGCTTTCACACCACTGCCAGCACAGTAAGTTTATTTACATCGGGATTCCTCATCACTACAAACATGATATAGATCCAATCAACACGAATGACACGCTGAACTTTGCCCTTGTATCACCAGGCAGTGGGGGTTTCCTGGCTCCATTATAATTTTATGGAACCATGTCATTGGATGCATTTCATAGTGTGCCACATGACTGCACAGCTACATTACATACATTAGTAACACACCCAAGCTTTTCATTTCATACATGCGAGAGTCATTGCTTACCATGGAATACTTTGATGTTTTACAGGCACCGTGCATTATTTTTTCAGTTAGGCTATGTCCTTTGGTACCCTGCCAGCACTGCTTGTGAGAGTCCTTGTTTCCCCATAGCCTAGCCACAAGAGTTAGCTGTGTAATTCACATTTCTGTTTAAGGGGCTTTTTTGAAGTCTTTATTGTGTATTTTACATTCTGTTACCTTTAGGTCATCCACTCCCAGGCCACCAGCACTCTCCGAATATCATCCGTTCATTATCTTTTTTCTTTCAGATCTTCCCTGGTGGCTTATTTTAATTCGGCAGAAAGCATTGGTGGGCAAACTCCCGGGAGGGAGACCATGAGGTCTGTAAAGTTATCAAAATTGCCATATTGTCACTTTCTGAACTGGAACCTCAAGAGCTTGAGCTGGAGGTAAAGTGGCACCAAGGGACTGTCACAGAGATGATAAGACGAGATAGCAGATGCAAGGATCTGGTTTAGTAGACTCTGGATGCTTGTATTCAGAACTGCATGTTAGAATAACTGATATAGTCTTCAGACCCTGTGTTAGCAGCGGACTCCTTCAGAATCCGGGAAAAGCAGCCTGTAAGACAGAAGCACAGACCTTTGTTTGAGGTGGTGTTGAGGGAAAGATACCTTCAAATAACATGAAAATGGAATTTCCATCACATGACTTTTCCAGGTACATGTCTATGGAAGAGGGGCGTGTATGTCTGTGTGTATATGTGGTGGGGGGTGCTTGTGTGTGCACATATGGAAGACAGGTCAACATCATGTATCTTCCTCTAGCACTTACTTTCTTTTTTTTTTTCTGGTGGGGTGTAGAGGGTTTGAGACAGGGTCTCAGTATGTAGCCCTGGCTGTTCTGAAATTTCCTGTAAGACCAGGCTGGCCTGGAAATCACAGAGAGCCTCCTGCCTCTGCCTCCCGAGTGCTGGCTGAGATTAAAGGTGTGCACCCCATGACCTTTTTAGCTCTTGTTTTTTGAGACAGTCTTTTACTGAACTTGGTGCTCACCGGTTGGCTAGACTGCTGTCTGGCCAGCATATCTACCCTTTCTGTCTCCCTGAGGAGGGGTTACAGGCACGTGCCTCCTTGCCTGGTGTCTTACATGGATGCTAGGGATCCAAATCCAGGTCCTCAGGCTTTCCTCACTGAGCCATCTCCCCTACATAACTGGATATTTTTAGAATGATCAGGTTGTTTGAAATATAGTGCTTATTAGGGTCACCGAAGATTATGGTTCAAGTTAGGAATGGAATATATGTTATTACTTGTGCTAATTAGGGGAAAGGCTAACACTTATCTGTTGCTGTCCTAAAATACCATGACCAAGGCAACCGTGGAACAAAGTTTATTTGAACTTATATTTCCAGAGGGATCAGAGTCCAGAATAGCAGTGAGTGCAAATTTGTCACCTCTGAAGGTGTGAGTGTAAGGATTTCACTAGACTCAAGATAAATGATAAGTGGGTGTTTATTGGAGAACACTCACACAGATAATAATAAAAAAACCTCGGGAGTGCTTCTCTGCCCTTCCTATCGGATTTGCTGACGGGGGGGGGGGGGGGGGGGGGAAGAAAAGGC